CTGCCTTCCGGCTAGCTTCCGGCTCCCTGAGCCGCTGCAGCAACGCAAACGTATGTATGTATGCTGTATGTCTGTGTATGTCTGTGTATGTATGTATGTCTGTCTGTCTGTCTGTCTGTCTGTCTGTCTGTTCTCTGTGTCTCTGTCTGTGTCTGTCTGTCTGTCTGTGTCTGTCTGTGTCTGTCTGTCGTCGGTCTGCCTGTTCTGTCTGCCAGTCGTCTGTCTCTGTCTGTATCTGTCTCTGTGTGAGTTGTTGCGAGAGGGTGCTGTCTTGAACCGACTGGTCTTCGATTCCGTCGTGCTCATGAGCCAACCCTCGTGAAGGCAACACGCCAAAGCAACGGGTTCAAGGGCATCAGCAGACATCTGAGAGCATGACAGAACTATGCAGTTCGCCCCCTCCCTGCTGAGGGCCGCCTGAAGAGTGGCGTAGTCACGAACATGTAGAAGTCAGTTCACATAAGCAGACACAACACCGGATGCAAAAAAAAGAGGTGCAGCCCAGAAGGAACAGCTTTGATCCTGGCAATGAAGAAGTAGGAGGCGATGAGGCCCGCAAGGCCCTGGGAAGATACGGCAGAAGGAGGCGAGCTTCCGTGAAGAGGTGTAGTGTAGTTGGGGTAATTGTGATAGGCATAACAGATTTTGGAAAGCTCTTTAGGAAGCGCGTGCGGCATGCAGCTTGCCATCTTTACTCGCAGCGCCATGTCATCACCACAGCTGTCAAGTTGTCCCCGGAACCAGCCGCAAATGCGTGCCTTACCTGAGATGCAAAAGCAGCACAGGCCAGCTGACCCCACATGGAACACGCCTCTAAGGCACACGCCAGTGAGTGGGAAGCCAATTCCACTCCAGCTGCGCTTGCACAAACCGCTGCTGCATCACTGTCCTGTAGACTGCCGTCTTGCTGGCAGGTCTGACTTTCATGTTAAATCCGCGCCGTCTCCTGAAGTACATCCCAAACACCGTCGCATGCAAGGACCAGAAAGCGATCTACCTGGGCTGCATCTGCTCTTGGGGGCCAGTCAACCAGGTTGTCAGGCAGGGGCGCAGTGAAAAAGTCCCTCAACATGTCTCAATGAACCTAATGGACCTAGGTCCAATCCAGGCATCCATTCCGCTCGTGTCTGCTTGTGTTTCATTAGACAGAAGCACGCGCTTCATTCCTTTTCTCTTCTCTTTGCCTTGTTATTTAAACAGTTAAAATCACTCAAGGATAGGTGTATATTCTAAAGGTAGTTTCTGAGTCTACAGGATCAACTAAGGTTGGTACCTGATACCTTCTTGGTAAGCTCTCCTATAATATCCTGGTTCAGTCTTTTCTCTCTTCTCTCTTTCCCTTTATTTGGCTCATGCTTCCGCTCTCTTCTTTCACTACATTATAATAACCGAATAAACGAGACAAGGAAAGAGAATTAGAATTGGAATGAAGAATCCAGTACTTGTTTTGTGTCTTGCTTGTGTTACAATTAAACGGAAAGAAGCACACGTTCACTACTCTTTGTTTATTTCACCTGTCTTCTTTCTTTCAATTAAAGCACAGGGGTTCCGCTCACTCCGTTCACTATGCTTAACAAAGGAGGGACGAAGCGAATGAAATGGGTCTTTTGTTGCCCCTTTTTGCTTGATTGGATTATGTAAACGCAATGAAACGAGCTGAACGCACGGCTTCTCACGGCTTCATTCAATGAACAAGCAAGGGGCACAAGAGGGCGAAACAGCACACACAATCAACAAGTTCAGTTAAAGCAAAACCATCCACCAGCTTATGTTTTGTTTCTTTTATCGTGGTTCCGAGGCAATCAGGCTGGAAGCTAGTGATAAGGAAAGTTAGTGAGTTAGGTTGTTGGTCAGTTCGTTTGCTCGTTACTGTGGTGAGTGAGTGAGTGAGTGAGTGAGTGAGTGAGTGAGCGAGCGAGCGAGCGAGCGAGCGAGCGAGCGAGCGAGCGAGTGAGATAGATAGATAGATCGCTCCTTAGATAGATAGTTGATATTAAGTATATAATTGGTAGAAAGTTTGTCAGCTAGCTGGCTTCGTCGTATCCGGACGACCACCACCACCACCACCACCACCACCACCGCCACGACGAACCGCACTGAGCCTGTCACTGCAGGATCCAGCTCCACCACTCGCAACTCTGGCTCAGCGGTGACCAAACCGCCTCGGACCTGGGTTAGAGCCATCATCAGCAAGAAGGAGGCATGATCCGAGCCCTCGTTGCGACCAGTGCGACTAGTACGTTGATGGAACTGTCGGATGGCGGTTCAGGGTGAGCTGAGAAGCCCAGTGGGCCAGTTCGATCATGCACTCGCAATCCGGATGGGGCACCTGCTCGCAGCCATACTTCTGGGGCTCTTTGAGAAGGAGGTCGCCGAAGGCTCGGGAGACTGCAAGGCCCCACCGCGGGATGGCGCGGCCTAAGACAAGCAAGAAGCGCTCCCCAGACCGGGGCCTTTCTCTTTCGTGTTCTAGCCATTGCAACTCAACAACAGTGAAAGAAATTGCTCAGTGATGCGGCAAGGCCACCTCCAAAGAAGACCTGCGACGGGCAGAAGACTCTCCAGACGCCGTAGAGGTCCACCACGCCGCCCAACGCTTCAATGCGCTGCTGCTCGTCAGGGCGGTTGGGCTTGTGGTCCTGTGACAAAACCAACCTTCACCTCATGCTCCGCCTGGCTCGAGCGACGCCAATGGCCAAGACTCGCAACTCATACTCATCGAAACTCCAAACCCCGCCACAATCCCAATGTGACAACAATAGAACAATCATATAACACTACTACGAACAACAAAACAATAACAATAATAACACTAATAACAATAGGAATAATAATAATAACAATAATAATAATAATACTAACGACACTAATAGTAATTATAACGATCATGAGAACATTAACCCGGTGGTCCTCGGAGAGGCGGCAGGCTTGGAGAGGCTGCTGCTGGGCCGAGGGCTCTTTGGCCGCACGACAGAGCACCGCTCGGGAGTCACCCACGTTGGCCACCAAGAGCCTCTCAATAATATCGTATGATATCCTATAAGAGAGTATAACATCCTACGAATACTATAAATTAATAATGTCCTTCAATATAGTATACTATAATATAGTATAATATGGACTCTAGTATAACAGGAAGGCGAAATGGGCGGAAAAGGCTGATTCTTGCTGGAGCTTTGTCGGGCCTGTAAGCACCGCCCTGCTCGGCGTAGACTAAGGCCAAGAGCAGAGTCGATCCGTCCATCGCCTCATGCTGCCGCGCCCAGCAGAGAAACCTCGCGAAGCCAGGCAAGGCAGGGGCCTACGGCGGCTACGGTCTCGAAGGCTCGAAATTTCGAGTCTGGGGGCTCGTCATCCACCAGCGCACAGGCCTCCAGGACGGCGTCTCGGAGATGTTCGTCTGTCAAGTTGGGCTTGTTGGCCAGTCTCATCTGCAAGACTTTGGGAAGCCTGGAACCGGGGGAACAGCACGTGATTTAACTTGCGTGCGCAGGGGGGAGCTGTGACACACGAGTTTCATGGATTGACATGGGTCGGGTTCTACTCATTCTGCGCATTCCTGACTCGCACATGTCCCCGAGGCCTCTCGGCCAAGTGCTCCACGCATCGGTGTCCAGAATGTCCATCGAGCACCAGCACGCCCGGAACCGGCAGTCCATCTGCTGAGAGCAACTCCTTGGCATTGGGTTATATTGACAACAATAGAAGTATTTTTGGTATGATTCCTCTTGTTATTGTTATTGCCATGACCTCGCTGACCATTGATGAACGCTAGGCTTCTCTGCAACATGAAACCCATGAAACAGTTGCTGGGGTAAGTTGAATCATGCCTGCTTTGCAGCGGGATCCGCTGATGTAAAGCTGGCATCTGTTCAATTCAGCCGGAACTTAGAACTGCTAGTGCCGCGGGTAGCTGTTGGTTGGGCTCGGCAGTACTTCCGACTCTCCCTGTGCGCTTGCCTATGAGCTTCACAGTTGCTCCTGCAGTCCACGCCTGTTTTGAGAATAGGGTGAGGGCGCCGCATGCGTTCCCGGTGTGCCCGCCCGCCCTGTGGGTGCGGGGTGAAATGATGCTCCGCCGGCTTGCTTTCCAGCATAGAAAAGTGGATCGAATGCCTCGCACTCCTGGGCCGCAATGGCTGCCGGAGTGCTCGGGTGCAGCACGCATATAAGTGCTTCGGACCCTACCCAGCCAACACTGCTCGAAGCTACTGCAAAAGCGTTTATTTGCCGCTTGCCTAGTGCTGCCACAATCATAGGAAGGGAGGTGTTGACTCACGCCCGACTCCCTACTCCGGCACCCGACTTGCATCAAGCGGGAACAGGTCACTGAAACCAAGGCTCGAGGTCCAGAGCGAAGCGATCTTCGTTCGTCTCTTTGCCGCCTTGCCAGCAGGCCTCAAGAGTCAGAGCTCTGGGAAACAATGGGAAACAATGACCATCACACCGTTTCCACTGCCATGGCCTCCTGCACCGCGTGGGGAATCGTACAGAGCAAGTCGATAATAACAAAGTTAAAGCACTTGAGAGAGCCGTCCATGATGGTGAGAAACGAGCATGCATGGGACAATCCTGCAATACTTTTCCCAAGGACAACCTGTGAAGCCCAATTACCGCCACTCCCTGAATCCGAACAACACTGAATTACACTGCGGGTTGGAAGCTTCCAAGTGCTCTCCGAGGCCCAGGCAGCTCCCAGCTCAAGCGTCAGGTGCCCCACCTGATTCGACATTCGGTACAGCCCGGCAACAAACAGATTCAGAACAACCTTCACGTGTTCACAGAATTGCAGCTCCGAGAGATTTCATGCTACCAGCCGTGCCCTAAACACAAACACCCACCCACCCACCCACCCACCCACCCACCCACACACACACACACACACGACAAGCCTGATCGGTTGATTTGCTGCTCTGCTTACGTCACGGGGTATGGAGGTTTCTGGTGTTCAACAGGCCCAGCCATCTTCGTTCCTGCCTTCAGCTCACGGTAGAGAGGTCGCAGTTGCGGCTGCTTCACGTCAGCCTGAACAGTCGCATGCTGTAATGACAAAGAACCCGTCGTCTAGTCTCTCCCAGACTTTCATGAAGTGGAGCTTCTTTGGTCTCTTCTAGTGCTCGTCGAATTGAACATATCATTGCAGTTCAGCCAGCGAAATATTGTTAGCCAGTGTGGCAACTAACGCCTGCTACCAAAAGCCGCACACAGTGACGGAGGGATTTGATCACAGCTATTGATACTTTCAGATGTTATTGCGGTTTTATTGTCCATGGAGAAGACCAGATTTGCAATGAAGACGTCAGCCTGCCTCTTGCTCTTATGCATTATAGACCCCGGGTTAGGCCGGGTAAGGCTCTGCTTGCGTCGCTCCCGCTCGTCGCCTGCGCGCCGCGCGCCAGGCGCGCCGGGTCCGCTCCGCGCACGGCGCGGCGGTGCTCCAGAGCCTCCTGGGCCTGCCAGGGTTGTACCAGAATTTCACCAAAAAAAGGCCAAAAAAAAAAAACAAAAGAAGCTAAGAGATTTCATAAGGCGCCAACAAAAAAAAAAACAAAAAGGAAGCGAAGAAGAGGGAAAATGGGGAGCAAAAAGGGGAGAAGAGCGGAGCCTGGCCAAATTCCCCAAGCTGCTGCCGGAGCTGGGACTCCAAGGCCCCAGCCCGGCTGCTCGTGACCTGAAGGCTCTGCCTCTGCCATGCCGCTGCCTCCCATTAAAGGACCCTTATAAGTACCCCTTAAAGGGGACCCTATCCTAATTATCAATGCAAGTTAGAGTCCCATTATAGAACCCTCTATAGTACCCTTTAAAGGGGACCCTATCCTATCATTATAGCCCTGTTACTGGTATGGAAACAGACTACCCCTCTTTTCTGCGAAATAGTGGCAGGGTTCGTGGAGTTCATCGCCTCCAAGAGCTGCTGGCGCAGCCGATGGACGCTGTTCATCACCTCCTCCTTGTGCCTTAGAAGCTCGGACACCCTAAACCCTAAACCCTAAACCCTGGCTCAGACCAAACATCGCAGAAACAGCGCTCCTGGGGGGAACCGCGACTTGGCCGAGGTCGGGGCTGCTTGATCAGCTCGTCCTGGCGATCCAGGTTCTGCTGGTGCAGCTGCGAGTACTTCTCCTCAGATTGTCCAAAAAATATATCCCCACCTCTGTTTTTTTTTTGTGAAAAGCCCGAGGACTCACCGGCTCCGGAGCTGCCCCACAGACCCAGTTCTGGACTGTAGCCGCCTGCTACTCGGATCCTCTGCTTCGTAAGCTGCGGCCAAGCACTATGAGGGCCACGCCGGCCTCGGCTTCTGATTACGATCCAAGTCTCGTGAGTGCTGAGCGCCGTGGCATCCGCAAACTTCCGTGTGCAAAGATAGCACACGTACTGTGGCATCTGCCCGGCGGGCGTGGGTGCTGCAAGCAGCGCCGCCATGGCACGCAATTTCTCGTATGGTCTACTTACAACCATGCACATCTTCCACGTGCAACAGGCCCAGTTGTCTTCAGTGTGTTGACCTTGTTTGTTTTGACCGCAGCCCCGAAGCCACAGCATGCAAAGGTGACCCGTCCCATACTTCAGCTCATCACGATGCATTGCGACATTTCGCACTCTCGCTGCGAAAGACACCACAACGAGCCTTCAAGCAAGCAGCAGAGGCTTCAACAAAAGCAGTGCAACGACCAGGTGTCCGGCAGCCCACAACAGCGTTTTCCACGCCTCAAGCTCAAATTCTCCAGAAAAGATCTCAGCTCATGGGGCGACTTCTACAGTGCTACAGTCCACCATATTATCCCCCACAGCCCCATACCGCATGGCGATGACATAGGGAAGCAGCAACCCTCAAGTTCTTCTGCGATAACTTCCCCCTAGGCCCCTGGGTCCTTTAGCCATTTTTCACAGAGATTACCAGGTCGCAACTCTGAGCCGAAGCACACGGATAACGATGGAGAGGGTCGCCTCAGATCGCAGTGATGGAAAGCCAGACACCACTGACAAAATCGCTGTAAGCCAAAGACCACCGGCGGAGCCTGCTCCACGAATTCCGAGAACTGCACGCATCCACTCAGAACAGGCTTCCGATGCAGTCTCAGGATAGGTGCCAGGAATTCTGGAGATAAAATCCTGTTTAAACTGCTACGAGTTATCGTCGTCCCTACAATACAGGGGTATACAGGGGGCAGACTGCTTGCAGCTCCTTTTTTCAAGCAGAGGTCTCCTTTCGGAGGTATTTCGATGGCGCGTTCTTCAGCCGCTCCAGCCCGATGCCAAGAGACATCTCCTAGGCGGTCAGAGCTAGGCTGACAAAGCCTTCATCGTCGCGCTGAAAATGCAACTCTCTTAAAAGAGGCAGGACGACCACCGAGTTTCGGAGTCGTCAAGCACGACATTACATGCCCGCCTGAGAACGCCTGGGTGCCACAAGAACCTTAAAGCAGATTGGCAACCCCCTGTGCATGTTTTCGGTGACACATCGAAACACGCCGTCTGGCTCGGGCCATGGGCTTCCGGGCCGCAAGAAGGCTTCGTCAACATGAGAGAACGACATGAAGGTCCCCTTTTTAGGCCCCCAAGTATACATGTAAAGCATAAAGTTGAGTGACGAAGCCTCACCCCAACCCTCCGATTCCATCTTTTCGGGCCAGCTTCATCGAAAGAAGGGGACTCCCGCGAATCAGAGGGCAAGCTTGGAGGAACTCCTCCGGGATGCCTTAGGACGAAGGGCTTGTCCACTTCTTCGCATCTCAGACTTAGCTCTGACCTACAAAACAGTTGCTTTCGACGCCGAAGCCGGCCTTCAATATTTTGACCATGCCAGTTTCGATCCGGATGTCGGTGGGCAGCGGCATCTCGTCTTCGAGCATGGCCCTGCCAAGTTCCTGCAAGGTGAAACACCTCTGAACATCTTCACAGACATCATCGTTGCCAGGCCCAGAACAGGTCAGAGCCGACCTCCTGCTCCTCGTATTCCTCGTCGCTAGGAGGCTGCTTTCCGGCTCCGACTCCATTGATATTGATCCCATCCATATTGATCCCCCTTGGCGGGCTGCGAGGTTAGACGTTAGGGCCCAGGGGCTGCTTTAATTCGATTCCTGTGTGGAGACGAGCTGCCCCTCAATTCGGACAGACCTCGTCCGCCTCCTGGCACGAATCTGAAACGAAAGAGCAGAGCGGATCTCTTCTCATGCGTTGCGGAGAGCCATCGAATCCTGATGCGAAGCTTTGCCAAGAATGGCCAAGAACAAGGAAGAGTTGTTAGGGGATCCCCTTACCCTCAATTTTCTCAATGAGGCACACATGCATTTTGCCGGATGCCCTCACGTGAGCCAGCAACACCGCGCCTCACGATAGATGCCGCATGCATGTCTGAGTCAAAGATATGCGAAACCGATCCGTGCATATCGATAATACCCTTGTGGGCATGAACGATCTCCCGCAGGTGATTGTTCTCCTGAGTGCTCTTTGCACAAAAAAAGATTGGAAGGGCCAGAAAGACATGATATAAAACCTAAACCCTAAACCCTAAAGCCCTAAACCCTAAGGCTCTTTTGGCATCCTGCACTGTTCCAACACCTGAAAGTCAAGTCGGACATGCCGAAAGGACTCTTGAACTTGTGGGCCCAAGGCTCTGCATCCCTGCTGTTCTTCTTGGGGTCCACCAGCTCTGGCCACAAGCTGTACAAAGCAATTTGGATCTCCTGCCAATTGCCGTTCATGCCGTGGTTTGGGTTCAGGGCTTAGCTTGGCCAAGCTGTTCGGGGTTTTGCTGCAATGCCTCAAACACCCACGGGTCCTCCGTGCTTACCGGTCGCTTTACCAAATGCTGGTTATGGGCGAGATGCTCACAGCCCTCATCGTGCCACGGCCTGCGACCAGACGTGTTCGAAACAAGTGACAATCTATACTGTATGATGCGATACACACTCATACCTATACATATACATCTACAAATGCAGTACATGTACTTATGTACCCTTTCCCTCTTGCACCGCCGCCTACTAGAGAACACCCTATGTACATGTCGATCTATCGGTCGATCTATCTATCGATCTATTAATCTGACTATCTATCGACCTATCTATATCTATCTATCTATCTGTATCTAACTATCTATCTATATCTATCTACCTATCTACCGATCTTACATACCAACCACCTATCTATCTATCTATCTGTCTATCTCTCTCTCCCTATCTATCTTCCTACCTACTTACCTATCTAACTATCTATCTATCTGCCTCTCCATCTGTATATGCATGTGTATGTATGCATGCATGTATGCCTGTGTGCATGTACATATGCATGTATGAACGCCTGCCTGTAGTACAGCCTGCATTCTGTTTCTGGTACTATGCGTTATGTACAGTAAACTATCTATTGGATATTCCATCCTGTATGTTTTTTAACAGGGTTAGCATAGGTTATGTGACCTATACTACAAAATACAGAATCTAGAATATGGATAATTATAAATGGAGAGTGGGTATAATGCATAAAATATACCATCTAACAAGTAGTCTATAGTGGCTGTCTAGTTTATAGTTTTTTGTGGTACTCGTTGTATACAGTGTGCACTTTGGAAGATATACTGAGGGTTATGTACTATGTGATATATGTTGGTTTATCCACTATCTGTTATCTGTTCTGTGCCGTGCATTCTAGAACATATTCTTGCTATCACATGTCGAACACATGGCATCTCATCTGCAGACGAGAGGCCGGTCGCTGTGAGATCGGAGGATGTTCCGTCGAGTGCGGTCCTGCTAATGACTCAGACTTGCGGCAAAAAAAACGTTGAGGAGCTTGGAATCCTTTGTCCCATTCTGCTGATCAGATCTAGGCGAGCTCGGAGAGCTGTTCTAGAAACGGAGCGGTGATGCTTGCTTGCTCAGGCTCGCGGTCCTCCCCCGTGTTGGGGTTGGGCTCTGGAATGCAACCCCCAGGACACTCTCTCCCTGTAATGGTCGTCATTTCTGTCTCCGGCGCTTAAGCAAGGCTCTCTCTGCTGCTTACTCTCTCTCTTCTTCTATTTCTACTGCTTCTTATTCTTTTACCCTTTTATTCCTGTTCTTCGATTCTTGTGCATTGTCTTACTCCCAGGCGCTTGAAGCGGCCGATTCCCTGGCACCTTTTGCACCTCTAGTCCTCTGTTGCTTCGTTTTTGCAAAATTCCAGATTATCAGCTAGAAGGCTTGAGCAGCGTCCACGAATGAGTTGAAGCTGTGCACCAAAGCGAAACGATCTCATCCTCCCTCCTCTCCTTCTCACTCGAAGAACTACTCGATTGAACTCACCACGGCTACATGAGACTCGGAGTTGACAGGCACTGCTGGTTACGTGGTCAGCGGTCCCCACCAAAGAGCACTTCTTTCACGTAGCTCTTCCTCACTTTGAGCACCAGAGCCGAGAGTTCTGTGACTACTTTGGCTTGCACTGCTCTGATTCGGTCCGGCGGCGTATCGTCCCAAATTCCAAAGAGCCACTTTCCCCATGTGTCTCGATGCGTTGAGAGTTCTTCATTGATGATCCGAGATTTCACTGCATAGCACCTTGTCGAAGGCTCTCTGCCGCGAACTAGTTCCAATGACACCGACAGACCGAAAGAGCTGTTCAACATGCTGCAACCCAAGCAGAGCGCATAGAGGCCACCAGCACTCGCTCCATCTGCAGCAGGAAGGTAGGCCTCGCAAGGTAGCTGCATCCGTCCGCTGCTCGGGAAAGTCTCCGGGCGCGCAAAGGTGAGCGTGCCAACTGCAGCCAAGCTTCAAGTAGATTACCTGAGGTGCCTGGCCAGGCTCACGCCTACTATAATATGATGACTATAGTACAATAGTATACTATACTCTAATGTAGTATACTATAATATAGGATACTATACTATAATATAGTATACTATACTATACTATAGTACAGTATACTATAATATGTGAACCGGACTTGGGCCACAGCCAACAGACGCCTCCTTGTGAACGATCTCGTGCCGCCTGAGCAAAACCTCCACCGTCTCCGTAAGAATGGTCTTGAGCATCTCGCGCTCCTGCAGGAGCGAGGGTGCTCTAAAACTCGTCTTCTTTCCTTGGACACCTGTGCCCCAACCCTTTTCCTGAAAGTCCTCGGCTTTGTCCCCTAACTCCTTTTCTCCAATTCCCGAACCCAAAGACTCGCTTCCTCATTGGGCAATGTGTGGGCGGGAGCCAGAGACCAATCCGCCGCCACGTTGCCAGCGAGACCAGACAGGCTGCCATGCTCCATGCCTGGCGCATGCAGGGTGCTGAAGTTGTCAACCTGGTTGATACGAAATGCTTGTCGACTTGACTCATTGGGGCATTCCGCAATCTGGTGGAGACTGATCGGGCGGTGATGCTGATGCATGCTGATGCTTCTGGTGCTGTCGGTAGTGGTGGTGTGGCGGTATCGACGGCGACAGTGTGGCGACGACGAGGATACCGATCGATGGGGACAACAATGGCGATCGCTGCAATTCAGCCAAAGAGATACGCTTCTCTGTCGCGTCAAGCTGTTCAGGGCTACTTTAGGGAGCTTCACGCCTATGAACGCATCACGATCAGGGTGTCCATCATCCATGCCTGCCTCAGCCACAGATGAACAGTCTCTTACCCATGGCTAACTTTGAATTAAACCGCTTTTGCATGATGCCTTGCGCATTCGCCTGAGAACTTGCGCATGCAGGACCTATCAGCTCTCATAACTGCGCTTCCGCACCTTCCTCAAATGGTGAAGGGACCATCTCACAGACACGCACACGAAACATGGTTGGCCGTCTGTAAATTGCGCAAGTCCAAACACCAGTCTGCAGCTTGTAAACATATGCAGACTCAAATCCCCAAATGTTGGACTTAAGCCCACGGTCTCTTGAGGTCGCCGCGGGAGGGATGAAGGAGAAGGTCAGGCGATGGTCGAGTCTTGCCCGTAGCCACTTGGGAAGCCTCAGTGCGCCCACGAGCACTGCTCGTGAAGAGCTCACAAGAAGAAGGGACCTGGCTACCTGACATAAACAACAATAAGAATAATTAATCATAACAATAATAATTACCATAACAAGACTACACACGATTGTATATGTATATCTCTATATAGAGCCATCATCCCTAGGCCCTAGACATTGTCGATTTTGACAGCCATCCTCACTTCCGTGAAGATGATGCATCATACAATCACTGTGATCGAAACTTGTTGCAAACTTCAAAATTCCTACTATCATCTTCACCGGGCAACAGGGTTGGCGGAGACTGCAGTGGCCAAATCATCTCGCGGAGCACGAGGTAGACGGCTCCTTCACAAGGCACTTTCAGAGAATAGGTGATTCCACAGGAAAGGCTTCTTGTGTCCACGAAGCATGAAAGGTTACGGCCTAGGCCTAGACATTTTAGGGCAAGTGTCGAGTCGGTGCAAGTACCCTCGACTGACTCGACCCACGCACTGACAGCTGTTGAAAGCCGAGCTGCGACAAAGCAAAACCATGAAGTTGCAGGCCGCTGGAACGTAAAAAACTGGCGAGTAACTCGCATCCAACGCGTTATCCGTCATCTGCAACCTCCAGCATTGCTCAAGAATCTGGCGGCTAGTCATGTGGAGGTATCCCGACCTGTTCTGACTGTGGCCTCTTTACCTGCCGCTATTCTTCTGAGCTATGTTCCTGGTGTACTAGCACTCCTGCAAGCGCTTTCTCGCTTACTTATGCAAAGGTATCACCAATCCGTCGGCCATCTCATATCCGAGATGCATGGTGCGGAAGAGTCGTCCCAGGAGCAACCACGTGAAAGTGGCCAGGGAATCAAACTGGAGGCGGTCGACTCCCTGATATGCCCGGTTGTCAAAAGGCAAGTCTCCTTAGATACGACACGAGAAGTCGCCTGTTGACACACTGGTGCCCAAGAGCCGCTTCGAACTGTGATTTGGCAGGTCTCGGAGATGCATATACCGGAAGTAGATGACCAAGGTCAAGAGGAGTACCGTTCTTGTCTCTGGGCTAAGCCAGAAGAGGTTGGCAGCGATGAGGATGTAGGTTTTTCTCCTGGGATGTCGAAAGCAGCTCCGGGAATTTAAGATCTACCGTCCCATATGCAGGCAACGGATTTTTGCACCCTAAACCCTAAACCTTAAACCCGTCAAGTTGCAACATCATCCAGGACTCGTAGTACCAGAAGTCCGGCTCGAATCCTGCATGCTGCCAAAAGGACGAAGGATTTTTGCTTAAGGGATGCCAATACCTCAAACATTACATATAGGGCCTCATATTGTGTCTTAAGGGATATTTTCTCAATTTCTCAGGAACATGGGGCTCCAAAGGCACCCCAAGAACTTTACGCTCAGCGCAGTCCGTCGTAGAGAAAGCCGAAAACACTCCACATTTCGGGGCTCTGCAGGGTGTAGTGCTTGGAACGCAAGATCCTCAGATTCCACCGTGGCAGCATGTTGAAACAGCAGCTTTTCCTTCGGGACGTTCTACGCACACAGGCAGCTGCCGAGTCTCAGCTTCGGAATGAGGTACAGTATGAATGGGATCCCGAAGGAGAACAACAGCAAGCCGAAGGTGGTGGCTAATTGCCATTGGAGATGACTGTCGGACTCGCAGTCGACACCTCAAGGTGATTACAAAAAGTAGCTACACTTATAGTTGCTTACAAGTCGTAACTAAAGCTATGATCAGGTAACCATACTTCTAATTGGTTCTAAACCCCAATTGAGGTACCTATTCCAAAAAAGAAAAGGTCTCAGGACCCGAGGCTGCTCCGGAAACTTCCGTCCTGACCAAGTGCAGCTCGAGCGACTCATGTCATAGGACCAGCGGCGAAGTCCCAGGGGAGCCCCTCCTGCTTTCAAGCCTAGTAGTGCGTAGCATGATTCCGCAGCAGAACAGACTTGTATTGTATATCTCAAGAAACAATAAGGCTAGGTCTAGGTCCTGGCGTTTGGACTCTTAGAAGGTCAGACGAGGAGGCTAGATTCTAGATTGACAGTGAGCCTTAGGTTTTCAGAACCGCCGATTCACCACTCGACAGCTGCTACGCGATCCAGAAGACTCTCATCAACCTGCAGACCTTGCACATTTCCAGGTCCGTGAGCTACCCCAGAAGATTACGATCGATGCTCTGCCCTCCACGAGAAAAGCCCAGGAACAGGCACCGCCCGCGAAACATGCACATGCGGACTGATGAAAGCACACAAGTGTTTAGGGCATTTTAACTTAAAGTCTTGGCAGCGGGCTTTGGTTCTGGATCCAGGGCATTGGGTTTCGCATGGTTTCGCCTTCAGTGCGTTAACTGTAGCGCTTAGCATCTGCATGCATCTGCAGTCCGCGGGCTCCTAAATCTGTGGATGTGCAATCGAAGACAGACAGCAGCTGTGACGTCACCATCGGCTGCAAGAAGTACATCTCCAGAACGGCGAGCGATGAAAAGGACAATAAGATTCCTCGACTCAGTCATGGGGAAAACGTGCGACTGTGTTGCGTGCGCCCAATATCTTTTCTTTCTTCCTGCCTTGTGATCACTTGCGTTCAAGCCGGCACGAACAGGTCTTCAAATAGATGGGCCATGATGGGCCACACTGAACCAAGACGAGGCTGCTAAGAAGAGTCACACAAAGCTCCCTGAATCTGCCGAGAGCGGCCCCACAATTCCAAACAGGACATATATTATATGTTGTATTATATTATTATCTTACATGATAGAATATTCATTAAAGGCCAGGTCGCGGGCTGACAGGGACCGATTGCTCCAGCGCAATGGCTTGGGTCGAAGAAGGTGCCAGGACCAGCATGCCAAGACTGACAGAGTCCATGTCAGGAGCAGCGTGAGCGGAATCAGCAATAAAGCTCCTCGGTGCTTGGATACTATTACATATACTATATAAACTCTATATATATATATACGTATATATAGAAACTATATTACATAGTATTGTTTCCAACCCTCTTCTAGTATGGCCATCACGTCGGCTCCACGGCCCGGTTGGCTTAACGAGCCTAGGGGGACCTCGAACCGCAAGGCAGGTGTGTACTGTTCGCAGCGCCCCTTGCGCGACATCCAACGCCATCCCGGTGTCCGAGGACTTTGAGATACTGGCTATCCCGAGGAGAAGTGCCGCCGCTCATCATGAGGCACTCCTAAGTTGCAGGACTGTTGGTGCTCAAGAGACGTGGCAACTAAGTGGGTCCGACAACGTTAGGTGACAGTCGGCGCTGGCCCGTAGTTTTGGCAAAGTCTCGATGGAGAAGATAGCCGTTGAGGGATTCTCCAACACATCGCCGATGCCCAGTGAGAATGCTACCGGTGACGTCAAAATTGCTTGACTCAAGCTCTCATCGCTGAGGGCCTGGAAGAACACGCTGAAACCATCGGTAATCTGCGCTGATGTCGAGCCCTGAACTCTGAACCCTGAACGCTCGACAAGCAGGCCGACACAAATCACGGCCTTGATCACACCATTCAAGTCCGTCACCTGGACCCAAAGCGGCGGATCCGCTTGATGTGTGATCCACTTAATCCTAGTGTCCTCTTCGTTAACTGAAACTTCTGCAGCTATCGGCGCTTGTGTTGCAGCAGGCAACACAAGCAACCACAACTACAATTGAAATATATGAAATATGCTATGCAAGTCAACAGCCTAAGTGGGCAACAAATCCAGAGCTCTTCTTTCGAGTAGCATCCGTCTTTGCATGACAGATAGCTGGTTAGACAAGTACCCAGATCGATAACATACGCAGTGAGGGACCGAAGCACATGTCGCGAGGCCTGTCCCAGGGCTTTGAGCTGCACGAAGAAGTTGCAGAGGATCTTCAGAACGATGGAATACACCCCTCGCAAGTTTCCCAAAGATGCATCCTTCGGGACAAGTGCAGGTATGACATCAGCGGCAAAGTGACGGTGTAGCAATTTTTTCATGTGCTATGCTACGCAGCTGCTGCGCCTGCGACCAGGAGAGCAAACACAGGCCACCAATGCCACCCAGTACGCACACGATGATCACGACAATGGTCAGCCAGTCTGGCGGGCAGCGATTGCAGGGCTCGTCGGGCGTTGAGCGCTGAAAGCCTCAGATTCCCAAGGGTGTGAAGAGCGGCAGAAACTCACAAGATCTCACATCTGGCCACTCTCCGAGCAGCCTGGCCGACAGCGGCCACAGAGTGGGCCGTCCATCACCGGGATGCCATCAGCAGTTTGGAAGCAGGTGTTGTTCTCACGGCACGCCGCAGCCACAGTGCACTCGTACGGGCCGATTGTGATCAAAGGGTCTGCCTTGTCCCAGCAGTCGACGCATGTCCTGCAAAACACTCGTCACTTGCAGGCACCGAAGCATCCAAGCTAAGATTTTCCATCTCGCGGCATGCCACCACAGATTTATGGACATGCGAACAAAGCACCCAGCAACGTGACGCACATGTGCTTGCACCTCTTCCCTAGCACTGCATAAGCAAATTCTGGGACAGGGGTTGAAGCAGATGCCGCCGCGTCACTCCACTTGTTTCTGGAAAGCTTCCTGGATTCTGATGTCCGGATCCTTCATGTCGAGTTGTCTTGTGCATGTGCCAGTCTGTTCCACGCACCGTTGGACTCTCACCAGAACCACTAATTCCGCCACTTATATAATGAAACCAAGCATCGGCATCAACAAGCAAATGATAGCGTGCTGCAGCATAGAAGGTGGTGGAGCCAGTGCCGTTCACACCATCGGGCCCGTAGCATCTTCAGGTGAAGCCAGGCAATCAAGGATGACATACAGCAAACGGTTACTAGGTTACCACCTAGGCCTAGATTCTAGATCCTTCAGCAACATCGCAGACTCCCTGCCGCAGTAATCGGCAACTGTTACACAGCCAGGGGTCATGGCTCCCCGGGGGCATCGAGCACAGCGCGATTGCCGTGGCAGCGGGTTGTAGCGGTTTTCGGGGCAAGCCTGTGTCGACACAACTTGCCGCGCCGGCTCGCGATTGTCATCAAGTGGTTGCGGGGCAAAACACTAGGCCCCACCTGACAGATGGGACTTGCTGCTTCTTGCGCGTAGCGGCCAGCAGGGCAGCCCTGAGCAGGATAGTGCAGGATCACTGCGACGGTATCCCTCCACTCGTCTCACTGAGATCTCCGCCAAGCAAGTTTCGCCCAGCTCATCCGGTGCCGTTGCCGCAGGGCAAGGCTTACAAGACATCTGATCATCGGCCGGAACCGTCCCGGCATTTTCCTTCAGGGATCTTCAGGGCTATGGGTCAACGGCCGACTCGAAGTGCACGGACGCTGCAAGGAAGCATTGACTGACTAACGGTTCTGACCGATACAACTGATCACCCCAGAGGAATCACGACAGCAGCAGCAGCAGCAGCAGCAGCAGCAGCAACCCTTTTCCCAAAGGCGCACCACGCTGCATACGCGACAGCGTGAGAAGCCGGTGGTGCTGTCATAGATGAGCGATGCATTCCTGCACATGCCGGCGAGCATAGGCCAAGAAGGCTGAGAAGTGAGAAGGTTTTCAACGCGAACCCTGGCCTGCCCTAGCCCCTAGCCTTTACAATCTGTGCATATGTATGCACGCATATATACAGAAGAGGAGGCTGTTCTCCAGAACAGGAATATATGTTCAGGCGTCTAGCGTTTGCCAGCCCACCCGCACCCCCCCCCCCCCCCCCCCGAAGCTCTTGCTTTTGTCGACTCGAAGCCCACAACTCAAAAGGCCACCCACAAAAGGGGCAGGGAATCCTGGACAGCCTGGACCAAGAAATGGGGGGGAGGGGAGCGCCGATGCCGTGCGGCTGGCCCCTCAAGGGGTATGGTGCTGGGTTGCTTCCCCGCCTCCCTGTGTTGTGGTGTGGTTCGGGGCTGGGTCTGCGTGGGGTGGAATCGGGCGAGGTGGGGACTTGCCGGGGAGGGGGTTGCCCCGCGGAAAGCGGCAATCTGCGCAGTA